CACACCTCTGGTTCTTGTTTCAATACCACACACTTCTATTCAAGATGTCTCTGAGCTTTGCCACGGTTTACCCCACCGCACCACCACACTGCCACCACATCCACACGACCCACAGCCTCATCAGACTTCCCCCCGTCGTCGTCAACACCTCTCCGTTTCAGCGCGTGGTCCAGATTTGACCTTACTCTAATGGCAACTGCCAACATCTGGTTGATTTGTATTGACTGGTTTGTGAATGTCGATATCTTCTGATGCCTTCTGCGTGGTCCGTCATTAACAAGAATTATATGTAGTGTGTCTGACAGTCTCTTACGGTTGTGTGGGGGGAAATGACTCCGTTTCCACTTAAAGACTTTTCAGTCACTGTGACCACATTGAGAGCTGCTTGTTCTTTAATTCTGTCAAGTGTCTTCCTCCAAGAAGTCAGTGTTCTTGTCCCCCAACCCTCAGTTACATCTTATTTAGCTCCATAGTTCTATGTGCTCAAGGATTTAAGAGTGCTGAATTCAATATTTAAGTTTTAGATTATCTGAATGGAAGTCCCTATATGACCTTTCAAGTAATTGTAAAGCTGTTAAATAGTATTATAGTAGTTAAATGTTGCTCCAAAATGACTTCATTCCAGAGGACATAAAAACTGATATGACGGAGGCTGTTCCGTGGATTGAGGATATTGGAAAATGAAATAAAACCCACTACAATGGAGTTGAGTAATCATCTTTAAAAGCCCAGTTCTTTGTTCTTTATGTCCACATTTGTACCATAGTTCTGATTGTGCTTACTGTGCAGCCCATTAAGAGGTATTTAAATGCTGATATATCTTTCATCTGTCACATGGGGAGTTCTGGTTCTGTTCCAGTCTAGCCCGGTCATGTCCCGTATGTTATACCTCTCAGAGCAGCAGGTTGAATCAGCCTTTTGTGTCCGGAGATGCCGACTGCTTCCATAATGTGCTATTCAGCTCCAGGTCGGTAGAGCACTGTGCGCAGTGGCACCTTCCTGTTTTCATCAAAGACATTTTAACACATCAAGCCAGAACAACTAAGGCTTTCATACTTAAATCTAATCTAATGAATAATAAAATAGTCACCCCTTTCACTTTCCCCCCTGTATTGATTTCACATGCATTCCAAGGTTCCAGGACACACATTTGTCCATTCTTTGAAAATTCTTCAATTTTTCCCCCCTTCTCTTACTAGGAGACTGCTACAAACACAAACGCACACCAGGACTCTGCCCCCCCAAACCCCAACCCTACGGCTGTTTTTGAGTTACGACTGCATGCTTAGTTTGTTACAAATCAGAAGCAAAGGTCAATCAGATAGAATACAGTTGTCCTTTGTGTGTCTCTTTCCATCTCTCGCTTGGTCTTCTCTATTTTCACTCTCCTCTTTCCCCCCCCCTTCCCTCTTGGGCTGCAAACAGGATTACTTAGGGTTTCTATATGACTCTGTTGTATCAACATAAGCACATACACACTTACAAAAAACCAGGTTTGATTTAAAGTCATTTTACTTGAGTACAGTTGTACCCTTGAGGCTTCCACAAACTATAAGCAAGCAGTAGATACCATCAAAGACCCAAACTATTTTCTGAATGGAACTGCTGATTGTGGTCCCTAATTTCACAGATTTCCCGAATGAACTGGTTAAAAGTCTGACAGTGGTCCCCGAATGACACAGTGCAGACCGACACCATAAATACACATTTCCTGGAACAGAGCGAGACATTAAATTAGAGCTTAATAAGGAAACATACACGGGCACGCAGATGGGGAAAGTGAAACGGGTTGGTCGGGTGTCAATGACAACATTTGCCTTTCCCTCTTAACCCCCCAGAGTTTCTCCTTCTTTTCCCATTGAGAGGGGAAACTGTGGGTGTAATGGGTTGTTCGTGTGCGTAAGAGGAGTACGTTTACATCACTAGCAGCGTGGGGCCTCATCCCAATATTCCTGGATGGCAGCTTAAGTCAATTGGAAGCATAGTGGAGATGATTGCAGAGTGAGGGAAAATATCTATTCCTACAATTTGTCTTCTAGGCAGCATAGTGGATGATGGAAAGAAAACCTGTTGAGGAACACAACGCCTGACTGTCTTTCTCCACATTTGTCCTTATTGGTGAGGTCAGTCTCCTCTTTAAATCACTCATTTTGCAGTCATACACACACTCCCCATCTCTCCCACACACAAATACACAATTGGAAAGCGGCAGTCAGACACACAGGAAAGATCGTTTGGCTCGAAGCACATCATGACCGAGGGGACATGGGCTTTGCCTCGTTTGTGTTGCGATGTATATATTTCAAACAAAAATAAGAGCGCTGTCTGCCAGCACTTTTTCTAACTGCGGAAATGTGTCCAGCAGACGCTTGACACACACACACACACACACAGGGTGCAGCCTGCTGCCAACAATAAGACTTGTTTAACGAGTCTCGGGGCTTTGTTGATTTCAATCTTAGGGCTTTGTTGTTTTTGTGAATCGCACTCTCTGAGACCGGTATTAATCTTCGCCATGTGTATACATGAGGTGTCCAGCACTGCGCCGTATAACTGGAAATTGTCATGCGACAACGTTTGGTTCATATTTGGTGAGGTCTTGTTTGGCTCGCCGCTACGTTGTTTCCCCCCGTTGCCAGGTTCAGTGTTTGCAGTGCTGTGGTAGACCCCTTTTCTCCGTCACCCCTACTTCCCTCTTCCTCCTCCCCATTTACGTCCTCACATCAACTTCCCTCATCTTTCTCCCTGCCACATCCTCCTTTTCTCCTCTTACTCCCTCAGTAAACTGGTCTTCCCTTGGCCTAATGCAGTGTTTGTGTTCTGGATTATGCGTTCCTCGATGGTTGAATGTACAGAGAGACACCGAGGGTCTTGGTGGGGCCGTTGGCCACCAGGTGCTCCTCCTGCAGCTCTCTCCCTGTGCCTCACTAAACCCTCTCCTCCCCACCAGGACTGCACTCAGGTCTCTCTTCCTGCATTACGGCACTCAGTAGAAACCCTCCTGTAGTTTGCACAGGAACAGGGTGTTTTTCCTTCTGATTGAAGGTTGCGCTTGGTTTGCTTTAGCTGGTCATTAAAGCTGGTATCAAAGAGTTTAGACTGAAATGGATTCAAGTGTGTGTACCAAAACATTATTATACCAAAACATAATTTTCCATAATAGGTGTGTTTTGGATGGTTGGATATAATTAGATACAGCGTCATGGAAGTATTGTCAGACTGGACATGTCGGGTTGGATTTTAGTTCTCACACATAAAGACTGAGTCTAGTTAATATCTTAATGCAATGACTTCTGGGTCTGTGTAGGATAAGACCCAGCCAGTCTCTCCCATCAGGGTGTCTTGTTTATCACTCAAAACCTCTAATTAGCATTAGTCAGTAACTAAGAAATGCCAGTGTAAGATGGTCGGTGGTCTCTCCAACAAACAAAATGAGAAAAGACAGTGGCTTATTGGGGCTCAATGTTTTTAACTTTTATAAAAAAATTGAGAAACAATTGCCGTTGATTTCAAAACAAACAGGTGACAATGTATAATGAAAAATGCCTCTTGCATCCTGAGCGTTTACTCTAAGCTCCTCTGGTGCATGCTCATATCATTTTCACTTATTTTCATTTCACATATAAGCTTTGCATTAACCAGTGTAAATACTTCACATTTTTACGTGACATTTTATATTTTTTAATTACTTTTGTGTGTTATTTAGCTTACCAGCATGTATCCAGTCCTTATTTTTCTTGCATGTTATTTGGTTTTATATGAATGTTATTATTCTCTTACCTGGTCATAACGTGCATAGAAGTACATGCAAACACACACCTCAACAAACACAATTATACTTGCACAAGATTAAACATAAAATACTAATTCCCAAGACTCCTGCTGTGGGTTGTCCCAGCCGAGCAGGTTCTGCAGATGAGCCCAGCTTCATTCTGTATCTCTGGCTGAGTGAGTTTCATGTTGTCTCCCCCTTTGGGAATGAAACCATGCTATGTGGTAATTATATGCATGTTTCTCTTGGTATTTTGGGGGTTGGAGACAGACAAAGTTACATTCACATCAGAGCCAGACCATTCCTTAACGCCTACACACTGACCCCAAACAAAATAGTTCAAATATTTAAAAAGATTGACAATTCTGCTCATGCAAGCAATTCATTTTATAGGCCCCTTAAATTAATATGGAAGTGTATGAGTCCCATAATGACATTTGACTATTTGTCATTATAGAGTTGAGGCTGTCTTGGGCGTAAACTACAATGTTAGTGATAATTAATCACTGTGGGGACATGTGAGGATCAGCAGTTTGCTCACAATCCAAACACTCAGTGATACAAATGACACATTGAAGTGCAAGTTCATCATCAAAAGTTATAATACGGTTTTACATCAAGTTGAGTCCTTTAAGGACTGCAATGATTTGACTCCAGTTGAGACTCATAACAGTGAATTCTTGTTGCCAGGTGTCCATGGGAGAGGCTGAGAGGGATAGGCTATGGATATGTGTGCATGCATGCACCCGCTGACCTGTTATTTTTTGTGTGTGTGGGTGTGCAGGCTTGCATGTGTGTGTACTGTACTCTACGGCGGCCTGACACAGACTACGGTTGGGCCAGTGATGCATTAGACATGGCCAGAGATGGGTTGGTATGGAATAAATAATGGATACCATCCTTTCCCTCTGAATAAATCAAGACCAGAGAAATGGAGAGAGATGAGAGATTACATGTGGGAGAGAGTTGGATATATTGAATGCCAGAGAGAAAGAGCAGTGTAACTGGAAGAGGAATATAGAAGGAGAAACGGTGTCCTGAATTCCGAATGAGTATCTCACTTTCCGTTTTGCAAAGAGAAAGGGAAAATGCAGTTTGATGCTTTCTTCTTGCACAAACAAGTGAAATGATTTTAAGTGAAAGTAAAAAAACGAATTCCTCTTATTACTAGGAAGGATCATAATGTTTTCTTTACTCATTTTGCTCTCTTTTTGCCTTTGAATCCCAGGCCCAGGGCCAGACCTTCAGCTTCCCGGATGTCTTCCCAGAAAAAGATAAGACGCCAGAGGAGGGCTCCATGGAAGAGATGGAGCAGAAGTTCATGGAGGACGAGAAGCAGAGGCAGAAACTTGACCCCAGGAGAGGAGGGGTCACGGAGTGGTTCGGACTCTGAGTCAGCCCACTGACCGGGAACTCTGTTCTCATATGGCGTGGCGTGGGTGTGTGTGTGTGTGTGTGTGTGTGTGTGTGTGTGTGTGTGTGTGTGTGTGTGTGTGTGTGTGTGTGTGTGTGTGTGTGTGTGTGTGTGTGTGTGTGTGTGTGTGTGTGTGTGAGTATATGCAAGGCTTCGGTCCAGTAACAGAGCCAGACCAGAATCAAAGGAGGAGGAGAGTGGCCCGTGTCCATCTTTCATGAAACCAGCCCATCGTGCAGAACCTAACCTCAGATGCCCTCCTATCCTCCCATCCTGCTCCACCTCCTCTTCTTTTACCCCTCCTGTTTTGCACCTCTGCACCTCTTCTTCCTTCGTCTCTCCTCAGGAGTTTCCTTTCCTCTTCGCCTGTTTCCTCTGCTGACCCTTTGTCTCCTCGTATCTCTCCTACACTGGGGAGAGTGTACTGTGGCATCCCTAGTAGCCCTGACTCTCAGCCAGTTGGATCAGACTACCTGGACAACCCACATCCTTTCCTCTTTTATGAGTTTGCTTTGGATTAATTGACCACTTTAGGTAAACAACAATCGAGATGTTGTTTGAGCAAAGCAACAACACGGAATTTGCTGGAGTGTTTTATTATTCTGTGGTAGTACCTCTTGCCATAACTCTGAGAGAAGATTGTGCCCAGTGTTTGTGTGTGTTTGCCTAGCATGCAGGACTTGCCAGTGAATCTGTCTAATTGTAAGTGCTGTTGGAATAAGAACTAATAAACGGCTGGCTGTCCAAAAGGGCTATGCTTACTTTTTTTTCTTGTATTCTCCTTGCCTCATCTCCCACGGCTGCTGCGCTTAACAACTGGCACTTCAAGACGCTGTCCGCCACACAAGCTGGCCTTCCCTGTGCCAACGTGGTCTGGTAGCTGTTTTGACAAAGTAATGATCTGTGTGAAGCGGGCCACAGGAGGACTGAGCTCTCTTACGGTAATAAGGCCCATAAAGGGGAGGGATCTCTCCTGGGCTCGCTCAGACCCTCCATTATGCTGAGAGGCCAAGGTTACAGTAAGTGTCCCCCAGCCGTGACCACTAATGCTGGCCGGCTAATACAAAGGTCCAGTCCCTGACCTCACCCAGCCAACTCGGCTATCACTAAGGAGAATGTCAATATTGATCCTGTTGGCCCATTATGCTGCCTGGAACCGCTCACCCCCTGCGTCGCTATAAAGCAATCTGATTTTGAACAAAACAAGCCTCCTGTTACACAGCCACTCAATTTTCTTTTCTGTTCTCTCTCCGTTGCCCAGTCCGGACCTCCAGAGAAACAGCTGCTTAATCAACAGAGAGAGAGAGCAAATTCCTGTTCCCGCTCTCCTCCCGGCCCGAGAAGACCCCACATGAATGTTGGGAAATCAAGTTCTGGTGTTTTCCAAGTACTAATCTGTCCCTGTTTCTTGTCAGGGGGAAACCCTGTGCCACCTAAAGTCAGATACACTTACTTTTGGATGTGAACTTGCATTGATGTGTTGATATTATGACTCTGTTGACATGTTATGCTTTGGCCCTTTTGGATACTGTTCGTACAAAGACACTGAGACACACACAGTCAATGAGCTCATCTATTGCTCATGCAGATAAATGTCTCTTAGTCATATTCACTCTTTATGAAGAACAAGTAAACAGGAAGAACCATTAAAAAGAAAAACATTCTGAGGCAGAATCAGTAAAACAATAAATGAAGTCATAGACGAAGATCAAGTCACCAAATGTAACATATTTTCGAAGTGATTCAATTTTTTTATAGAAGAAATGTGTTTCTCAAATCATTAAGATTCTACAGAAAAAAAGACAAAAAATATTTTTATTTTTTTACCCATGATCATTTTGCTGACAAGATCATCTAGCACATAATACTGAACAGTAAGGATGTAACATGAGCTAAAAAAATGATAGACTTCCAGTTTTAAGTGATAACATGTGTGGAGGACCTGCCAAAGTTGCGTAGTGTTCGGTCGTGAATTAAAGTGTTTCTCTTGCCAGAAAAGACCACGGATTGACCTCAAAATGCAACATTTACATCACAAACTTCTGAGACGGGATACATGCAAAATCACTTTCTTAAATATCTGGACATTAGCAGTTTATCTGCTCTTACTGTGGGTCCTTTTTTTTTTTATTGAGCAGACATTTTGCCCCCCATGTTGCTGCATACTCCAGCAAAGAGCTCCTTTTTAAGTAGGTAAGGCAGTCTGAAGTGATAAGTGTCTTTCCGTCAGGAGTGAAAGGTCACATTGAACATCAGCGATGGTGCATCACCCTGGCTGTGGAACATGAAGTAAGACATCTCAAGGAGCATCAGCCCTTTGACGTTGTGATCTTTTCCAAAACATTTTAGTATTTAGTGAGAACATTTGGTGACATCGCAACTACATGGTCACTGTAAAGTACATCTCTAGACCAGGACAGACAATAAATACATACGCTTCTGAATAAAAAATAATCTTTAAATGTATAATTATGTTTACTGATTGAAGACTATGTTAAGCTTTTAAGACGTACATTATTGCTGTCAATGAGTTTGTCCAAGGAGCAGAGCAGTTTATGTAAGCAGGTGTTTGGAGATTCTGTAAGAGCAGATCAGACCAGTTCTTGCTGGCAGAGACCGGTCCGTTTCCTGCCGAGGGCTCGCACCTAAAGTCACAAATCTTAGCGCACGCTTTTCAGTTTTTGTTAAATTTTCCCTCATGGAATTCACTTTTTCTTCTTCAGTGAGCCAAACCTGTCTACGTTGTAAATATTTAACATCAAACTCCACTGCTGTAAAAAATAATGACTACTTCAAAGGAAGAGTATTTTTGTGTGCCTGAGCTAGATACACTCCTCCTCTCCTTGCCCTCCTCTCCTCCATGTTCTCACCATACCTCTCCCTTCTCTTCATACCTAATAAAAAGCTGCAAGCACAATGTGTCCCCCCCTGTCCGTGCAGCTGGCAGCCATTTCCATGTTAGTTAACACAGTGTTCTCCCTGCCTGTCAGATGATGCTGCTCTTCTGGAGTGTGAAGAAACGGGAGGATGGAGAGGTATGCACCGAAATGAGCGAGCCCCATACCTCCTGTCCCAGCTGAACTCGGGATGACTGCACGTCGCTACAGATTTATAGGGGTCGATGTGTGCTGGACAAGATGCGTCGTATATTGTAATGCACCACACGTTGTGAAAGTGCCGAGAGGGGGAGATGCGAACATGTGCGTGCGAGACGCAGAAAGCCCAGGAAGGATGGAGTGAGAGAGAGAGAGCAGATGGAGGTGAGGGAGAAAGTGAAGAGGGTGAAGTGAGAGTGAAAAAGAGATGACATCACTGAGAAAATGCTGAGCTGGATTCAAGGGCTACCGGATGAGAGGTCCACAGTGCACCGTCTTTCTCTCCCTCTTTTTTTCCTTCTCTCTCTCATGAGATGTACAGTGCAGGTCGTGTTCCCATCCCTACGGCTAGTTAATGGAAGGCGGGTTGAATATTTTAAACAGTTCTTCAATCTCCTCCTTTTTCCCTCCTTACACCTCTCTCCTTTTACTTTATTCATGTTCGGGTGTGCATTCGTCAAGTGCACACATGATCCTGTTTCAGCTGCTGCAGTCCACGCTTGGAATCTGCATGACATCATGCTGTATTTTTGGGATTAGTGGGATGAGTGGCACTATAACAACGCCCACCCTCGATCTCTATGTCCTCCCTAGGGGGCAGATCTCCTTACTGCCGACTTGAAAGGAAACTCTTCACCTCCAGATGCTCCATTGCATCCAGTAGCTGCTGAGGAATTTAGATATAGCAACGCTGCAGATAAGGCAATGCTGTGCTTCATCCTATTCCCACCATATTGAGAAGAGAGAGCTTTGCATATATTGTGGTGTGCTTTAACTCAACAAAATGTTTAATTGAAGTTGCATAAATTCACTCAATTCACAAGAATCTATGGGTAAAATTAGAACACAATTACTACCCCTACCAGCTTCTAGTGCAGACCCACACACTCACACTCGTGTTCACTAAGACAACCGGGGTTGCCTGCTGAGGATTCTGACGGCCTCTCTTGGACCAGCGCCATACACATTCCTCCTTCCCCAGGTTGCCATTGGTTTATCTGAGCTCAGCCAGTGCACTCTGTCACCCCGTAAGTGTGTATACGTACTTGTGTGTGTCTGTTTCAGTGTGAGTCCATGTACCGTATGCACCCTTACATAAAAAAAAGTTAACATCTTCAGTTTTTCTGAGAATGTACTACACGCGCACAAAGAGACACACATGCACACACCCTACTCGCGTTCATGCCTCACTGTGAACCACTCACACATACATAAAGTGTACCATGATGTGGCCCCTCTGTGTGTGCACACACGGTCATACTGTACTCACATCTATACAGTTGCTGGCTCAGAGCCAGGAGCAACAACTGAAGCAGGACGCTGTAAAAAACATGTGGCCCGGCTGTTTATCGCTGCTCAAATTACAAAGAATCAGTGTGCTTTACTATCAAACAGATCCTTTATATTATTAAAAAGGTATGACAGCATTTCCTAATGTTGTGTATATTTAAAGCACACACTGAACCAAGTAAATACACAGAACATCATTAATAGATAAAACATGTTGAATTGATTTTGTGAATTGATCAAGTTAAGCCCCAAGGTCCCCGTTTTTTTTTTCACGATACTGTGTCTCAGGCAGTGTTGGGCAAGTTACTTCCAAAATGTAATATATTACATATTACTTATTACTCTCTTTTGAAAGTAATAAGTTACATTACAATATTACTGTCTCTGAAATGTAATGACTTACACTACTTTAGTTACTTTTTAGTTACTTTCACCAAAATAACCGCAAAAGAATGGCTAGGTATTTTAAATGCTAAAATGTAGTTTAGTGCAGCTCATTATGTATCCAGTGAAGGGCAATGTGGTATAGCATAACAACTGTAGGCCCTTAAGGCTACTAACAACTTGTATTACAGGGCTTAGTTGAATACTCGATTCTGATTGTAAATTCTTAACATGTGACACGTTGTTAATACAGCAGTGCAGACCGC